GACCACAACAAGAAGAAACAGCGACCATTGCTGGATCCAAGGGTGGTGAGACCCCTCCTTTCTCTTTTCTTTCTCTTACGTCTCTCTCTCTCTCCATCTCTTTGTGTCTCTGTTCCTGTATCTCAGTCTAGGCCTATAAGGGTAACATTGTTAAGAGTTTGTTGTATTTCATTCTGGGCACATATGAGTAATATTGTTGCGAGTTTGTTGTTATAATATAATCGTAACTTTTGCTAAGGCACTATCTGTTGTAATCTGGCCAAGTTTTCAGTAAATGTGTGACTTTGAACTTCTAGAGTGATTGTCATCACTCTGGATTACCACACAGAGAATCTAGAAGTCAACCTCACCCTCACTCACCGAGTGGGACAGGACTGCAGGCAGCGATTTAGAGCAGCTTAGCTGTTGCTCTTCGTGTTGGATGTTTTTGCCGTGCTGTGTTGATCTGGTGCTGTGTGTAGAATTTCTTCTGATTGCTTGTTGGAGGAAAATGGAATTTTTCTTCTTTTGAATGGAGAAGTTGACTAGTGAATGGTGGTGATTATCATCTGAAGAACTAGAGGTTGACCACGTTAAAGATGGGAAATGGCGTGGGTTCTGTCATGATATGGAAAATTTTCTCTGGCCTTGATGAGAACTGAAATGATAAATGGAGTTGGACTCAAGAAAAAAAAATTCTGTGAGCTGGGGAAGGGACTGTTTTAGCCTCCCTCCCTAGGTGACATCCCTCCATCCCTTCTGGACATCTTTGGGGGACTGTCATGTAACAACCTCCATTTATTGGGTGACCTAACCTTGGTTGTTGGCAGTATCTTTGATCTTTTCTGCTTCTTCCTGGGGTGGCATGGTGTAATTTTTACAGCTTTCGGTGTTTGTGTCTGCAGTGTATTACAGGCTGTTTGAAGCAAGTTTTATTCTTCATTTATCAGATACAGTTGTCAGCAACCACGCAGGCTGGCCTTAATGACCTGGCTAATGAAAACCAGAAAGCACTTTTCCCTGAACTTGATTTCCTTCCTCATTCAGATGGGACTGTGAAATCCACGACCCTTTGGCCTGGTTGTGGTAAAGATTGCAAAGTTTGGCTCTGTTCACCTCGGCAAACGTTGCTAACATATTGCTGTAGAATAATTAATGTTTTCATAGCACCTTACCAACAGACCTTTCGGAGTGCTTTGCCAGTGTTATACTTCACCTCGTCCTTGTTGCAGAGGAGACTATGAGCAACTTTGTTAGGGTGCCGCAGGAATACATAATGTAAGACGATGCTTGCCCTTCTTGACGGGTTGTTGCTTGTAATAGTCCTCCGTGTTCATGTGTAGCATGCACAGTCATTTGCATAATTAATGCATTACTTTGAAACAGAGGTATTTCAGAAATGTAACATCCTGTATTTATGGAGAAAAAACTTAAAAATATTCTGGTAGTGACCTAAAGTATACCTAATGTTAAGTACTCGTTCGTAAAGGGGAAAGGATAAATTGTTGGATATTTTTGTGGTGTCATAAAGTATTAATGAACCTTAATGTGAATTAAATGTTTGAACTCCTGTGGGTTGAGAGATGTGAAACTATTAGAGTTGGCCTTTATAGCACAGAATGATAAGTCTGACAGAGGACTTAACTAGTTTATCTTCCTTTTCTACATAAGATGCTAGTAAGCCCTGCATCATTACAAAAGACAAATAGAATAAAAAAATACGGTTTGAAGCTTAAAGTGGTGTAGACAGATTTTCCTCCTCCCCAACTTCAAATAATTGTGTATGTGAGGAGAAAGCATTCACCAACAATAAAAATGAATATTGTAATTTGATGGTAGAGGGAGCTAGATAGTTTTTAGAGATAGATCAGAGGATATCGCTGCTAACTTTCTAGTCTCATGTTAAAATGATAATTTAGGTATAAATACAACTTTTTATGATTTTAAACCCCGGGCAGCTTTCTCTCTTTTTATTTCACATACAGATATTGTTAAGAATCTTCTACATTTTATATCTTTGTCTAAGAAGAAACAAACTTTCACCTGAATCTTTTGTGTCTGTCTCTCTTTTTTTTAACAGTCTGGTGGTGTTGCCACTACAGATTCATCTTGCCCAATCCTGTTTTGTTTAGTATTCAGGAGATGACAGTGTGCAGTTTGATTTCTAGTCATTCTGTGTTCTGAAAATGTATTTATATACTTCAGCCAAAACGATGAGCCACCTCTTTTATTAGAATCATATATCTCAATTACATAAACACTTGCCTGTATTTTTTTCTGTTTATTCTTAGATCTAATAAAAAGTATAAAAGCTCCTTTTATACCTTGTTTATAATGTTAACTTCATTTTATGCAATGTATATTTGTAACTTTGGTAACAAGAAGCAAATAGTAATTTGCTTCATTTAAATTTGCTTTATTTAAAATACACCTATTATAGAGAAGGGTAAGAGGCTAAATCTTCCCAGACAGGCAAAGAGCATGTTAAATGAAGACATGTTGACAAGCTGGTCTTGCTTGGCCTTTTTTGTTTGAGATGTTTGTAGATTTATATGCCCAAGAGCTGCTAAAGGAGTGGAAGACCACTGTTGACTCCAGCTGCAGGTCTTTCTCCACCACAAGTGAGAAGGAGTATGCAGAAAGCCTGTCCTTTTCCCGGTCTAAATGTTAGCAACGTTTCATGTTTACTTATGGAGCAAACCAGTCTGGAGTCTGTTTTTGTTGTGTTTTTCCCATCTAGAACTATATTCCAGTTCCATTTATCTCCACTGTTTCATCTCTGTCCGGTTAGAAGCTTAAGTTTTGTGTATGCGTGGCTTATAGATATCTTGTGAGTTGCATAGCCGAGGTTATTACCCTTCACTTGTCTGTGAATGTAGCATGTTTAGTAACTTTATTGTAGTCAGATGAATATATTTTTAAGACAGAAGGGCCATCGTCGTCTGTATGAACTAGAATAGAAAATAGCAGTTAGTGATTTCCGCATGAACTGCCAAGGCTGTTGTCCCACAGGGATGGATGCCTTGGGGTGGCCAAGGTCCGTGAGCTCTCTGGATCATGGAGAGGTACCAGGTACCTGCAGTTTTTTGGAGTCCTGGGTGGTTTTGGTACCCTGTGTTAAGCTTAACAGCTGTTTCGCTCTCACTGAATTATAGTCCTTATTTTTTTGTTGTTTTGTTTGTTTATAAACTGGAAAACTGTTTTGATATTGGAATAAATGTCTCAGTGTGCTCTTAACTCACTCTTTCTTTATCTCTGCCTTTTGAATTTTAAGATGTGGCATTCACCCATGTAGACTGTCAGCCTCATTGTAGAGATGGAAGTCCCAGTCTTGACCTCTTCATTTGAGCTGACTTAAACGACATTTATTTTTTTTTTATTTTTGCAAAGTCTCTTTTTTAAAAATTAAGAAGTTTGAGTAGCAGCCTTGCTTTGCTTGCATTAAGTACATTGGAAAGTTTGTCAGCTGGGCTTTCTAAGAAAGTAGATGATGAAAATTTAAAAGGGTGCTTTCTTTGGGCACAATGCGTAGTATTTTGATTTTTTTCTTGTTTTGTTCTTTGTACCACTTTCAGTATTGCTAACAACAATGTTCAAAAATACAACAGCATTCCTACCTTATGAGTTAGCTTTTTAAAAAACTTTTATTTTTTAACATGTATTTCTGTTCCTTGAACCCTTACGATGTACTGGTCATTCTCCTGCAAGCCTCGTTTTCTGTCAGTACAAAAGCTGCAGATTTCTTTCTTGACTCTATCAAAAAAGAGAAATTAGCCCATGGTAGGGAGGTTACTGTCTTGTGCAGTGCATGGGCTTGTATCTAGGGTTTGTTACAGAGAACTAATAGCCAACCAGGAGGAAAGACTTCAACTGGTTGCCTAACCTTCTGAAATTCTTTTTTTTTTTTTTAAATAGTGGTCTTTTTTCAACTTGTATGCTATCTCTTGGCTTATGATTGAAAACACTTTCTGGTAAAAGTCAATGTTTCAGGATGAAAACCGAACTCCACCATTCGTTTTTGCTTTGACTTCAGTTATTTAACAGCCCCCCCCCCCCCCCCCACCCCACCCCCCCCGACACACCCTGCCTCACGACACCTCCAGCGACAAAAACCCAAAAGCAAGCTCAAAGTTGTAAGACTTATCTCAAACAAAATTAGGGTTGTGATAATATAAAGTAGCTTTCCTCTGGTTTAATCAGGTGTGGTGATATGTTGCACTTTGGGATAAAGAGTTTTCTACCGGCAAGTTGTATTTAAGTAAACTTGTTTGTGAAAGGCATATCTCTGCTGAAAGTAATAGAGGGAACTTCAGAGGCTGAAAAGGTTGTTATTTTATTGATGTAGTTTATAAAAAATCTATTTCAGGAATTTAAACTGTCTGTAGTGATTATTATTTTTTCAGAAGGAGTAGTAAAAGTATTTCTCGTTTTATCTCCAGAACCAGAAAGGGAAGAACGTTCTGCAGCCCCTAATGCTAATCCTTGTATACTTGGGTACTATTTGAGAGTATTTGTATGGACTTCTGCAGTTCCAAGTTTTGCACCTGGCTGAGATACTTTCAAAGTCGAATGCGCACAAGGTTTGGCTTGCTACCTTCTCAGGTTCACAGATAGCGAGCTGTGCTTTGCAATGGAGTAATTACCCAGAGAATTTTTTGAAATAGAAAATCAGAAGTCCGCTATCATATGCGGTTCATGAAGGCTGTAAGAGCAGAAGACTTCTCTGAATGAAGAAGAGAAGTTGAATGTCTTTGTATCACTCTTGTTTAGGATGATAGGATGAAATCAGTGCTGGAAGAGCTGCAGAGCTGTAGCTTGACATATTATGTTTTAGCTGAATTTCCCCCTTAACATATAATCCAAAAGCATTTTTATTGCAGTCTTCTAAAAGGAAAAGTTCTCAAGCACAGTTCTCAACATTGTGTATGGGTATGTCAGTGTGGCTTACAAAAATGTGTCTGTAAGTAAATGTTGCTGAACTCTGCCTGGTTATTTTTCTTCTCTGTTTGTCTTAGGCCAAAATTAGTTATGAAAAGGAGCAGAGGCGCAAGCTGCTAAAGCATCTACGAGGTGAAGATACCTGGATGCTGGATGATGTGAACGAACGTGTGGAACAACTGGAAAAGGTGATGGAACTGTAAATCATTGAATTGTGTTGTTAGCTTTACAGCGTGTTCGTATGAGCAGAAGGCTTTGAGGGCTTTAACATGATCTTTAAAAACCTTCCGACTTCCGAATTCTTTATGCTTAAATATTAGCTTTTATGAAGTGGAAATAAGCTTTTACTCACAAAAAGGAAAAATTTCTGTCATTCAATTCCAGCTTTAATTTCTATCAAATGCCAAAGAGCAAGTGCTGCCAGACGAGAATAGTCCCATAGGAAGAAATCTGGAGGATCCAGGGCTTCGTAGCAGTCCCATTTGTGGTCATTCACAGGAGAAGCCTTAATGGAACCTCTGAATGTCACATCATTTTAGTGCAGAAATCTGTCCAGGTACTTCGACAGAGGACAGATGTGTATTGATGATGCAGTGATTCCCAAAGAAATAGATTTGACCGAAATAAATGTAGCGTAGAAGATATTCTATGTGTAGTTATAGTGCCTTAGTTCCAGTGAAAAAGATACTGAGAGGGGGAAGAGAAGTTGATTATGGATGTGAGGCATACCCTCCCCTCACCCCACCCAATACAAGAGAGGGAGGGTAGTAGAAATAAAATGTCTCTATGTCCAGCTGTGTGTGTGTTACCTTTTTCAGCGTGGCTTGGTGAGTAGGTTGTGATTGTTTTTCTTGTATGTTGGTGATTTGGTTTACTGGATCTCATTTACAAACATTTACTTGTAGGAACATTCTGTGCAGAAAAAAAAGAAAAAGGATAAGCATTCAAAAAAAGCAAAGAAAGAAAAGAAGAAATATAAGAAACAAAAATCTGAAAAGAAGGATGATTTACTTGATAGCTCTTCAGTAAGTAATAAACTTTAAAATGCTTCAAGTAACACTTTTAAAACCTGCACCATTTTAGTCTGAGGGTACATATGGTTAGTAAAATTAGGACTCATTCTTACCATTTTCTGTTGGGAAAAACTGTGGCAAAGTTTGTATTTTTAATATACTGAGTATTTAATCAGTTTAAAAGGTGCTGTTATGTGAGTGCTTCTGAATTTTATAATATTGAATTCACTCATTAGGAACTATAATTTTTCAACAGAGAGGAACTGAAAAAAATCCTCATTCTAGGATAGAGTGGAAAAATTTGTAGGTTCCCTGTAGTCAGTGGTATGGGGTACAACGATGTGTCTACACTTGCAAATACTTGACTTTGATTTTAAGCACGAGTTACTGCTGCATTTTTCCGTGGATATTCAACCATGGAAACTCCCAACAACATGGGAATTGTACGTGGGTCTGAAAGAAGGCTCAAACTTGTGCATTTGAATCTGTAAACAGATGCCTTCACATTGAGGGACACTCTGGCAAAGCAGTACAGAGACTGCATTAGAAATCCGGGTGCTGCATTCTGGCCATGTTGGGTAAAACAACCTGCCAGGATTTTGGTGCAAGTCAGGTAGCACTGTGATTTTTTTCTTTTCAGAGAGTCTTTTTTATTGAGTGAAGAAACATGCAGTATGATGAGATTTATTTTCCAGGGACTGGTAGCAGAGGTGAACTATGCTTTTCAGTGTGGGAAGTAACCTAAGGCACAAATGTTCCACGTTTCCCATGGGAGTCATCAAAACCCCACAGATCACATCAGTGAGTCCTAGGATACAACACAGTACTGGTTGATACCTTTGATCCAAAGTCTGTTACTCCCATGACAACTTCATGTAAATAGCAAAGAAACTCTGTTCCATGGAGTCCTGTTCGCTTCAAGTGTAGAATCTCAGCACGCTGTTTGCAAGTGCAGGAAGTTGGATATGAAAATAGGAGAAGATAGTACGTACAGTGCTTTATATTGTACTGTGTTACTCATTTTACTTTTTTAATGTAAAACATACTTAGTAATGAATTCAGATTTTTTTAATTTATTTTGGTTTTGTAATACCATAAAAACAATTGGTTTTTGTTTTGTTTTTATTCTGACAGTTTTAACTTTAGCAGTGTTATGCTAATAAATTGTGAGTATGAACTGGTGTTACATACTGTGATGTGCTCATGAAGTATGGTGGAATGTTTTGATTGTGAAGGAACAATCTCCTATGAGAACGTCAATATTCTGGTTTTGTTATCAGTATTTTTCAATAATAAACAGTATTGTATTAGTATTACTAATCAAGATCAATTTTGACTATCAATATACTTGGTAAGTTGCATTTTATCAACATATAATAGTATGTTATGGTGTTACTCTTTACATTGAACTATATTTTTAGGATTCTTCAGTTGAATGGGTTGAGTCAAATGTGTCACAGTCAGATAACACAGAAAAGGCTTGGAAGGTCAACAAGCAATCAGATGCTGTGAAAGAACCCTCCCTGCAGGTGAGCAGTCTGATAACTACTCCAGAAATAAATTCAGCATGACCAAATGTGAAACGTGCTTAGGTTTCTTGACAGCTCTTTTGCAATGTCTTGAACAAAACCAATTTTACAGACAAATGTCTTTATTTAGCTAGGTGAATATTATATTTCATTCATCAGAAGACTTCTCTACCTAATAGTTGCTTAGTATTTAACAAGGCACTACAGTTAAAAGTTGCCTAGCACCAATTCCTTTTGTCATGTTTTGAGGCTCTAACAACATAGCTTGATTTTCTTGAAGAGGTCAACTTAATTATCTTCACTAGACATGGTTTTTTTTCTGCATAATTTTGGTGGCTAGTCTGTAGTTAAATGAATTTTTGCTTCTGTGGTGCTTAAACAGATATAAAGAACTTTTCCGCAATAATATTGATGGAATCAATGCCTCTTGATTTTCTTAGGTGAATTCTATGCCCAGTAAGCAGTGTTTATTCTGGAAAATGGAGTCATTCTGAAATGAATTGCTGTGATTTTAGTGAAATGAACTGTGATTTTAGTAACGTAAATGTAGTCATATGTCACGACATCCTCAGTTTGTGTTAAAATGATGATTTTTAATTTAGCATCTAATTCCATTCCTGAAAAAAGTCCCTGTTTCTCATTCTGAGTTTGTGCATCTTGTTAAGAGAAATGAAAAGGATGTCTGAATCATATGTATCTTCTTGGAAAAGTATAAAGTAATGAAATATGAATTCTTATGTATGTTGTGATAATTTATACTGCAAAACCAGTTTTTTCCAAGCGTTTCTTGTATAATGTGTGCCCTGGGCTTGTCTGTTTTTGGATGAAGAGGGTGCTTTTGAAAGAAATTTCCTGGTCATCTGTACTTTTTGTATTTTGGCTCGCATTATGAAGAAGTTTTGGAGCATGTAAATCCATTTTCTGTTGGATTAAACTAAATTACAAGATGTGTTCTCAAAGCGCATTTGAGGTGCTCTGTGGGACCAGTCTTAGACTGGTCCAGAGTGCTTACTTAAAAGGAGAAAAAAAAAAAAAAGAAACAGAAAGCCTCCCCACATGGCAGATCTGAAGCCTATACAGAAGACAACATTCAGGCTCTTTTCAGTGATGCCCAGTGACAGGACCAGAGGCCATGGGCACAAACAGAAACAATGAATTTTCTGTCTGAACATCAGGAAGCTGTGTGTTACTGTGAGGATGACTGGGCACTGGCACAGATTACCCGGAGAGGTTGTGGAATCTCCATCCTTGGAGATATTCAAAAGCTGTCTGGATGTGGTCCTGGGCAACCAGCTCTGGGTGGCCCTGCTTGAGCAGGGGCTTGGACCAGATGATCTCCATCTGTTGATCCATGTTGCTTGCTAATGTGGGCATAGATACTACTGAATCACTTGAAGATAGATTATTTTTCAGTTCCTTCTCATTGTTAGAGGAGATCTGAGAAGTGGAATGTTGTGTTTTTCTTCTGAAACTCTCCAGTGTGTTGCCTAATATAATTTTTAAATAACAAGGAAAATGTGACATATAGCATTTATTCAGATTAACAACTGAGACTTGAACCCTACTAAGGATACGAAGACTCTTCTGCAAGGACGTGTTTCGAAATAGGTGTAATCTTGTCATTTTGATTGCTATACTACCCACAGGAGTGTTGCAAATATTTGTTTTTGTAGAGTGTATAATGCGTATGTCACTGCTTTCTTTTGAGGCTTCAAGTTTTGTGTGTATAAAGGTAGTAGGTATATCTAGGCTTTTATATGCTGTTTTTCTTTACAGAGTAGTCCTCATTTTTAAAGTGTCCTCAGTCTGGCTTCAGTTTTGTAAATGCAGTTTTCTACCTGTTGTTGTGGGTACAGTTCACAGAATTTAGATGTGTAACTGTGTAGTTTGAGGGTGTGGTTAGCGCCTAGATATTCGAGGTATGAACTGTGCTCAGTTACTGATTGCAGATTTTGTATACGCTAGAAAAGATATAAGAGGTCATGAAGTCAGAATTAGCAAGATGAAAAAGGATTGGGTCTAGATGTACAGTGTTCTTTTAAGCAAATAATAAGCAGTCTATATGGTTCACATGTTTACTAGTATTTTAAATACATTGTGAAGATGTATTTGAAATTACAGAAAGATACTTATGAAATTTATTTGTGTAAGTGAATATTAAAATTGAAAGACTGGGGTTCTTAAAATCATATTTGCTTTTTATTTCGTATGTGTTTGTAAAACTTATACTGTTTATTGTAAGTAACATTTGTCAGTAGTTGCACTGACTTGATTTGTACCTAAGCCATGCTCCTGTTGGAAGCATGAAGGCTGATTTTTTTTCTTTATTTTAAAGAGAGAAGAATGGATGAATTTAGACTTCATGTCATTGAAAACCACATCACTAGCAGCTGTCAGAGGTGAAAGACACAAAGAAAAAACACTGGAACGACAGAAAGCTCAAGAACTTGAGCAGGTAGGAGGAATTAATATATCGACTTTTTTTTACATCTTCCTAAATTTTGTGTGATGAATGAACCAATGAATTGATTCAAACACTTAAGCCTTGATGTGTGATAGTGATTTTAATTAAATTGGTCAGTTATTTGTTCTGTTTGGGATAGGAAGGGTTTATACAGCAGGCTTATCTTGTAGAGAAAAGCCTTTGAACTGTCTTCTAGGTAAGCAGACAGCCAGTTTTGTTAGTACTAAGTTCTGTAATATTTCAAGGGCTTCTGAGATGTTTTACGTAGCAACAAGGACAGACTCTTTGGTCTGGCCTTCTTCCCCATGGCATGTGTGAAAGGAGCACCATTGTTTTGTGTGAGAAAAGCTTGCCTAAGTTACTGTGTTAAAGCGCAGGGTGCTTTTTTTTTTTTCTGAAGGAAGAATTCAGAGCAGTTGCTGTACCTTTCGTGCTGCAGTTGTGCATGAACACATGGGTGGATCAGGGTCTGGCTGGGGAAGGAGTTGCTAATTAAATTAGTTCTGTTTACATACAGTTGCTGGCTGCTTCTTTGTTCATTCAGGTCCTGAAATGCAATGTAGTCTGATCTGAAAACATAGTTGCTGATCACTGTCTAATATTTACTTGTCCTCACATCTCAGAGTAGGCCATTTGTTGCTGTTAGGTTTTCAAGTTAGTTGTGCTGTGACTAGGAACCAGATGGACTTGGAGCACTCCTCTTGTGTAGTATGTGGCACTTTGGTTATTGTTTTTTGAGAAGGGATTAATCTTTTTGTGTTTTTTTTTCCTTACATAATTTTTTGCTGAACATTTTTTCTAAACTCTTGAAGGACCATTTAATGTGGCGATCTTAAATCACCAGAATGTCAGCATATATTATATAGTTAATAACAATTTATATGCATTCTTGATCCTAGAAGAATATGATTTTTATAGACTATCCCGCCCAACCACTTGCTCTCCATGCAGATTTGTACTTTTGTGTTTTCTACACCAGAATGTCTGTCCTACCTTTTGATACTCAAAACAACATGTACAACAGATGCATACAGCATGCCAGTGGTGGTGCTGAGTTGATGATATAACGTAGACAAATTCAAAATTTTGTCAGTTCTGGAAAAAAACAACCCTTTTCTCCAGTGAACTTCCTTGCCTACTTCCAGAGAAGTCAGTTGACAGAATCACAATAAGCGATCTAGTTTGAGGGTGAAAAGCAGTAACTTGAGGTAAAAATAAGAGCCCCCATAACAGCAGTGCTTCAAATGCAAGTGCACATGACTGCTACACTGGCAGTGCAGTCAAACAGTAAAACTGCTGCTGTGTAATAAAGGTGCCAACTAAGCACATGTTTGATTTGGGATGAAAAGTTATGTTTATTTCTACCTGTCGTAGTACAAGTTAGGACCAAACTGTTGTATCCCCATACAAATCTCAGAAAATTTATCAAATATTTTAGAAAATACAAGCCATATGCTATGCACACATTAAAATTATTTCTGTTTTAGGCCATGCTGTCTGAGAGAGAACTCAATCCCTATTGGAAAGATGGTGGAACAGGTTTGCCACCAGGGAAGGATGAAGCAGCTTCAGTTAAAGGTAAATGGCAACTTTTAGTAATAACCTTAAATTTCTGTCTCCATTCTCTAGTCTCTGTGTTGCTAACAAGTGGTGACTAATGTTGATGTAAAGGGATTATGAATAACATGTAATAAAGTAAAATTTGCATGAAAATTCAGTAGTGAATATTGGGTTAATATCATAGTTTTGCAGAATTTCTCTTCACTGGTTTTTAATCTTGAGTGGTTTGACCTTCAGTATCTTTACAGAAATTCTCCATTTTGAACTAATTAAAGGAAAGCATGATTTAACCAAGACAAGATAAATTGTTGTCATCTCATTTGGTTCCTTTCATGCCATTACACAAATTACAGTTTTAAAATATTCAACCACAGAAGTCTGAGTCACATTAAAATGAAGTACATTACAGATGAAGTTTGTGAAAAATATTATTTCTGTAACCTTTTCACTTCTTTCCTTACCCTAGGGTTATCCTGCCTATTTCCAGCAAGAGCAGTTAGAAAAACGTTTTTCATAGTGTCATGAAGCATTTATTTTGTGATAAGAAGGGTCCTTGTATTCTGTCAACAGGGAACAGTAGGGTCTGTGGCTTTTCTCTTTGGAAGCCTTTCCCTGTGGACAGTCTGTCCTGCAAACTATTAGCCTCATGCTCACTTCTAAGAGTCACAGAGATGAGCGATCTGTAAGAGGTGACGGACATCAGTGAGTACGTGTCCTGAATATTAAGACCTCTGCCAGCTTCTCAAATGGAAAGCAATGGGTTACTCCTTAATTTTCTGAGAAGGGGAATGCACTTGTGTGTACGTAAGGGGTATGCCAAAGAATGGACATGGAAAGTGGAAACAATAAGAAGGTTCTTTAATATCATAAAAAACCCTCACAGCTTCTCATATGCCTCTCCTGTCTTGGAAACCGCTTGTTGTGTTCTACGCTAAAATGGAGAAGCTTAAATTAAATCAGTGGTATTACTGAGGTATATCCAGCATTAACTTGTAAAAACATGTAATTGTATTATTATGTTCTTTCTATTTTTCTTTTGTACCCCTTCAATTTTTACATTAAGTTTAGGTGAAGATTTAACGTCACGTGCAGAGTAAGGTTAAATAGGAATAACTACTGAGATGCAAAATTACAACCTCTCTTTGTTTTCTACCTTAGTTACAGTGGTAGAAGATGCTGGATTAAGTTGGTTACGAAAATCGTACCAAAGGATGAAGGAGCAGGCTGAGAGAGAGAAACGAAATTTTGAGGAAATTGTAGCTGAGAGATATGGGGTAAGGACCTTCAATTAAATTTTTTTCCGTACTAACAGAGGCTTGGAAAAGGTTACTTACATGTAAAGGCACAAATACTTAATGTGTAGTGTAAGCCATAAGGAAATAAGCAGGAAAAAACAGCCTCTGAAGCTTCTCTCAAGTAGTCAAGAGTTTAAAGCTACCCAGCCTTTTCTGTCTTTTTTGTTAAATATTTTTTAATATATGGGATCACAGGAAATTTAAAATAACTATCTTCTACATCAGGAGGTTCAAATGATCTCAGTTACAAAGTACCTGAGTGCTTCCAAAATTATGATGTATACTAGAAAATATATTTTGTTCTCCCGCACGTAGCGGATAATAATGCACATTGTGGATAATAATAACGCCAAGATAATTTGAAGAACTGTGTCAAATTTTACCGAATATGAATCTTCTGGCCGCTTGTGATCTGTTCAGTCTAGATATATTGAGAAAGCTGCTTGCTTCTGAAGGGTTTAAAAGACTTCAAAATTTATTTTTAATAAAACAGTCTGCCATAGCTATTAAAACTTTAAAAAAAAAACCCCCCCCCCCCCCCCCCAATTGTATTGTTGTGTTTAAAATCATTGGTCAAAGCTATGAGGTGATAAATCTTGGCCATAGTGTTACATTTGAGTTTTCTGAGGGTTTTTTGATTAGACTGGTTTGGTTGTGGAAATCTTGGATAAGATAGTATGACTTCATACTGTTGTCTTTGAACTGAGCGATGAAACCAGCACGGTCAGCACTGGTAGAAATTATTCAGTGCCAGTGACTGTAAAGAATGTTATTTTTAAGAATCTTTCTCAAGAAACTAGAGTTCGAACAGCATGAATCACTCTGCTGAAGTACAGGATAGTGATCGAAAGAGATCCCTGCTTGATTTGCTTCAGTATGTAATGTTCTGAGCAAAAAAAAAGAGTAGTTGGTGGCTTTTAATTCAGCTCAAAAGAGGGAAGAGGAACTGTCCACACCTTGCATAATTGTCTAATGGATGAAGTATTTGTCCAGAAAGCCAGAGACAGGGGTTCAAAACCTCTTTCAAGCTAAATATTTTGAACCCACTCTCCTGTGTTTTTAAGAGTTTAACTAGATTGTAAAATAGTTTAGTGGGAACGTCCATTGGTTCTGTAGAAGCTGAGCATCTAGTCGGCATAAACACAAAGTTCATGAGTAAGAGGGGGAAAGCCTTTCTCCCTAGCTCAAGCTCCTAATCTCCAGGTTCCCAAGAGGAGACAGTTCTGAGGCTCTGGTCCCTGCTCTATTTAGTGCTTTAGAACCATGGGCTGAAAGTTAGAAATAGTCCAAGAGAAAGGATCAGCAAGCCTTCCCAACAGAGCATCTTAGACACGAGGCTGTTCAGTTCCCTTTTTCATACTGGTCTTCCTTTCCACTCCACGGCTCATGCCTTGCCCTTTGCAGTGACTCATTTTCACAGAATGGTGCCTTTCTTGTAATACTTTGTAGGGAGCTTCACAATACCCCGTGATCTTAAAAGCAATATGACTATTTTTTTTATTCTTTCTTATAGTCAATGGAGGTATTTCAGTCACGATTAGAAGAAGCTGAAAAAGTTGCATCCAGAAAGGAAAATTATTATAGAAATGAAAGATGGAAGAAAACTGACTATTCAGAAAGTGAGAAAGAGAAGAAAGAACAGCATATGAAAAAGGATACACGAGATGAAGATGATAGAAACAGGAACAGGTTTGGGGGCTATACTAGGGAGAAATATGGCAAAGGATGGGCACAAGAAGACAAAGGTTACAAGAGAGAGATGTCAAGAGAAGACCAAGAACGTGGGCACAGTAGCACAGACTCTGTATTGAGAGGCTACAGCTCCAAAGCAGAAAAAGACGAAAAACAAAGTCAGGAGAAGCGTTCATCTCTAAGTAGCATGAAACATAAATTTCTGAAACCCTCTGAAGATGATTTATCACCTGACAGTGTACCTAGAGACTACAAGTCACAGCAGTCCTCTTCCAAACTGCCAGTTCATAGCTCTTTGAGCAGCCGTTTCCAAAAACCTAGTGAGGATACTGCACTGTGCACCGAAACACACACAGAAGATGACAATGTGAAATTAACGCCTGATCAAAAATCATCAGGTACTAGGGAACAAATTGATGACGATAGTTGGGAAAGAACTCCAAGTGATGAAAAAGAGAAATCGCGACAGGAGTATCCAAGCGATATCCCTGAGAAGAAACAAACGTTATCTGACAGTAAAACATCGTGTTCTAGGTATTTTACAAATATTTTTACTTGCCTTTTATTTGCTCTATTTTTCATGGTAAAGTATACTGGAAACTCTTATCTTCTTTGTGACAGTATTAGATCTGATATGATCAGATCTCTTTAGTTAGGAGGAGGCTAGCCTCCCAGCTGGCCGCAGCTAAAACCCCTGTAGAAGCAATGAATAGCCTCTGCTTGTCCTGTTTTCTCAGCGTATTTGAGAATTGCTAATGATTATTTTCTGCTTTCTAATGTTAGTTCACACTGCAGAAAAATTGGCCTCTTAGGCAAAAAAAACTGGAGAACGGTATCTTAACTGTTGTTCAATTTATAAAAGACAAACTTGAAATGTTAGAAAATGCTGATTAAAAACTGAACTAATTAGTATGGCAGGGATACGTTTGCCACTTGTGAGATGAACTCATATGCTGAAGTAGTAGCATATGAAAAATAGTAGAAGGTATTGATTAGAAAAGTGCATTTTCTGTGGAAAAGAGGAAAGATAAATAGGAGTGGGAAGGGAAATGCAAACTAATATGCGGTAGGAATTTCAGTTTGCCTAACTTGCTTTAGTGAAAGGCAACGGAAAGTAGTAAGGAGAGGTGGTCGGAAAAGTAAGTTGTATACAGCTGAGCTGTTGCTCTACTCGAGGCCACATGTTCTCCAGTAATACCAGCTTGCTGGTTCTTCCAGTGATACGAGTAGTGTGATTGTTACTGTGAATGCTTTCCTTCAGATCTTCCCAATGATAGGTAGGCAGGTGCAAAAGTATTTCAGAGTCAGGATGGTGTTATTTAATTGCTTGGGAAATCTGGACAAGTAAATATTCTTGGTCGGATTACGTAAGAAGGATGGTATGATTTAGTTGCAAACAGCATTTGATGAAACAAGATCAAGTGTAATTCCTCCTTTCTATATGCTTGTGTCAGTTATTTGCAGAAAAAAACTTATAGCGGCGTTATGAATTTGCTTTCAATGTTTCATTGTTGGATTCTAATAACAAGACAATACCTTAGAAGTATTTATTTATAACTGTTCCTCCGTGTAGTACTTGCAGATACCTCACTGTGTATTTGCAAATACAAAAATTGTACATTAAATGAGCACTGCATGACTAACCAGAAACAACCAGCTTTTAGTCTACACAATTCTTCATATTGTATAGGCTGGGTATTTTTTCCAGATTTCACTTGCTATATTTTCTGCTTTGATAGGAGCCAATGAAATTTACATTTTCTTTGATAGCAGGAAGGTAAATGGTTTGCATGATTTTCACTTAATCTTATGTATTTATTTATTTTTAAAAAGCATGAGTTTGAATATACATCAGAGCAGGAGTAGTTGCCGATTCTGGCACAAACAGTTTATATGCACATGCTGTGGGAAGTCCCACTCGTGTTTGCCATGTCTTGTTTTATTGTTTATTTTAGTATTTGCCTAGGTGTTATTTTGCTGGAAAATGAGAAATACATCTTTATAGTTGTTTTAATTACTCTGAAAAAAAGATCTGTAGCATTAAACCTGTGATGTATGAGACATTTTAATTTAGTGATCCTCTTTGTTTTTCTAGTTATTGCCTTGAAGTGCCTGGGGTTTACCACTTTAAACGCACTTTGTAAACTTCTGATTAGAATGATTCACGATGTGTCTGAGCTGGAGTCTGTGAGACTTCCTCAGCTCTTTGATCTTGGTTTGTTCATGACTTTGTTTAGATACAAGGTCTGCACAGTCCACGGTTGTTTCCTGCCTGCCTTGGGTAGTGCACTGGTTTCCATAAGTAGAGCTGGGCATTGCTTTGCATGTGTGGTGTGTTGACTCCAGCAAGCAACTAAGGAGGTAGCCAGCTGCTTGCTCATTCTCCCTTCTGCAGAGGGAGTCATAAGAGCAAAAGGGAGAAAAACTCATGTATTGGATAAAGACAGTTTAAGAAGCGACAGCATGAGACAAAAAACAAGTGATGCAAAGGCAGACAGGCGGTCACCACCTCCCACGAGCAGATGGATGCCCAACCAGTTTCTGAGCAGCAACTACTTTGGAAAAACTACACTTTCCAGCTTTTCTTGCTGAGAATGATGTTATATGGCATGGAATATCCCTTTGGGCTGTTCGGGTTGGCTCTCCTGGCTGTGTCCCAGGCTCTTGCCCACCACAGCGTACTTGCTGAGAAACCGGAGAAAGCCTTGATGCTGTGTAAGCATTGTTCACAGAATCCCAGAATCGATTTGGTTGGAAGAGACCTCTGGGATCATCGAGTCCAACCTTTGCCCTCACACCCCCATGTCAACCAGACCATGGCACTAAGTGCCACCTCCAGTCTTTTCTTAAACCCCTCCAGGGATGGGGACTCCACCGCCTCCCTGGGCAGCCCATCCCAATGCCTAACGACCCTTTCGGTGAAGAAATGCCTCCTCATTTCCCGCCTGAACTTCCCCTGGCACAGTTTCAGACTGTGCCCTCTTATCCCGTCACTAGTTACTTGGGAGAAGAGACCGACCCCCACCTGGCTACCCCCTCCTGTCAGGTCATTGTAGAGAGCGATCAGGTCTCCCCTCAGCCTCCTCTTCTCCAGGCTAACCCCCCCCAGCTCCCTCAGCCGCTCCCCATCAGACTTGTGCTCCAGACCCTTCCCCACCTTCATTGCCCTTCTCTGGACTCGCTCCAGCCCCTCAAGGGCTTTCTTGTGGTGAGGGGCCCAGAACTGAACACAGCACTCGAGGTGCGGCCTCACCAGTGCTGAGTACAGGGGGACGATCACTGCCCTGGTCCTGTTGGCCACACTATTGCTGATACAAGCCAGGAGGCCATTGGCCTTCTTGGCTACCTGTTCAGCAATAGGCAAAATACTGGTGTGTTACCAGCACTGTCATCAGTTCAGTCACCATATGGGCTGCTGTGAAGAACATAAACTCCATCCCAGCCAGACTTACTAGAGGATGTAATTATTGAGTAGAAGTTAGTGATACCATTGTCTCATTATTGTTATCTTAAAAGAAGCCAGTACTCCTTTACAGTCTTATTTTTTGGTTTTGGGGTTTTTTTTGTTAAGTAATGGTAATTCACTTTTATTGCAAGTGCAAAAACTGTACCTTTTAGCTTTTGGTTAGCACACGTAGTACATGCAATGCTAACTGTAACTGGACAGAGCTGCAAATTCTGGGAAACTAGGTTGTGTACAGAAGTTGTTTGCTTATTCAAGTTCAAAGAATTCAATTATTATGATAGAAAAGATAATTCTTTTCCTCACAGAAGAGAAGTAAGCATAGAAACTATTTAGCTGATATTTTCTTTTGCATGTACTGTTGTACTCAATTATACATCTTCTTTGATATTTTAATTATGTTTCTTAACTAATACAATTACTGAGCTGATTTATCAGTAAATTGGAGATTACTTAGGCCTGGAAAACCATATAGCCTCTACTTCTTGACTGACTTATTTCCAAGTTCTTCTAAGCTGACTCTTAACTCCTAAGCTTCTGTGTGTCTGAGATAGCGTATGACCTGTCTTGCTGTTTCCTTCAGTGAGGATTGTCTTTTTTTGTAGAATTTTGTAGAAAATTCTGCCTTTTGAACATTTCAGGTTTGGATACGTGGGGTAGTTATCTGTTGGGAATAATTTATAAGCTGCTGCTTTCTTTTTCTTCCTAAAGTTTCAAGTCTTGTAATACGCATACTCTTTCAGCAGTGGTGTCAGTCAGTCGCAAAAAGTAAATCTTCATTGATGTGAAGGCTTGGATTAATAAGTGTTACTGGTTCAGTTCCTCATCTCTCACGCTGACAATGTACCTTTTAAGTTTTTTATCCCTTCTAAAGCACAGAGAGAGTTTCTTCAGCCTATAAATCAAAGTGTTCTGGACAGTTATGACACAGGTTAATTAAAAGTGCTGACTGGATGTCCAAGGGATCTCCCCAGAGGAAAAGTCCATCCAACCAGCATTTGCTCAAAATCACACTTAATAATGTGACTGCTTCAGAGTTTAATTTGAGACAAGATAAAAAGCAAATCAGAACAATGTCTCTTGTCTCAAAAAGTTCAGACGATGATTCAAGTGTTAGCACTGCTTAAGAAAAGCATGTATGAAGTAATAAACACTGCTTGCTCCCTTTAGTGAAACAGTCTGCCTTGTTTTAAAAAATAGATTAAGGAGACATGAGAACTTCATCTTCGAGGGTTCTGTTTCTGGTGAAGTTAATGTGAAAGTTTCTGCTGAGTTTTTGGGTTTTGGATTGGGCATCTTCAGAACAGATGAAAGTAACTTTGGTAATTTCTTCAGGGCTGGGGAGATCTGGCAGTTAAAGATGACACCATCTTCAAAGTTCTCCCATTCTTCAGATCCTACAGGGTTTAACCATACTGAGTAGTGAGTGAATTCTCTCTCTCTCTCCTTTAATAGCAGGAACCAATATCATAACTGTACTCTTATGTCTCTTGTGTTGAGAATGAGTTGGTTTTAGTCTTTCCTAGGGTTGGAGAAAAAGAACCAAACTTGTTTGGTGCCTCTTTGCAATAATTCTTAAAGACCTTATTTATTATCATAAGAACTCATACACTAACCTTTTAATATTAAAATTAAGATACAATACTGTTTATTACTAGCTGTAGCTTCTCTAGGGGGACTTCATATTTTAAAAACGGTACCGGTTAATTTTCCATGGAAACTCTACCATATCAGCCATGACGTCTTTAGAAGCAAAGATTGTACTGGGAGCAGATAAGTATGGGCATGTAAGTAGTTTTCAAGAGCTGGAAGGCAATTTGATGTATGGGAGAGCAACTAGAAAATGGGTGATTTTGCTGGACCTGAGAAATAAAAACATGACCAAAGCCAGAAAGGAGAATTACAGAGTGGGTTTAAGTTCCTCTTTCTACTCCTCTTTTCATTGTTTTTTGTCTGCTTATACCTGCTACTGGCTCTTGACTGTTTTTTCATGCTGAGAAAATGTTCATAAGATAGTGCTTTTCATTTTAATTGATCTCAAAAGTAAAAGAAAACATACCTCATAAAAATTTTATTCAAGCTTTTTGGTCTCGGAGTCCTTGGCAACTTGTGACTGTAAATATATTTTTATAATATATTGTCATCAATTATTTTGACAATAGGAGCATATGTACGAGTACAGTAGGCATATAATAATTACACAGGTGAATACTGCATTGGTTTTTTATGGATTTAGTGCTGCTGGTGTTTTACAGATACACATCAAAGGATGAACCGCCTCGGGTCCTAAGTGAAGAGGAAATGAACAGACTTGGAGCGAGGGTTGTGAAAGCAGAACTCATGGGAGACATGGTAATGTGTTTGAAAAACTGTCATGATTTACTGCAATTTTTCTTTAAAGCTCGCAGTGATTTAGTTGGGTTAAAAAAAAAAAAAGAAAAGGTTTTGATTCAAACCAGTAAAGTCCTGCAAAATTTGATCAGGTGGGATTTGAAGACACTGCTTTTACTGTAACTTCTGCTTTAAATGCAGTGGTTCATAGACTAGAATAGAGGATTCAGGAGCCAGGTTTTGTAGGCTAAGTGGAATATCCAAAACCAGTTCTTCTCCGCCTTTTTTTTATAGGATTTAATGTCTTTTTTATTAAGCTGGGAGCAGGTGAAAATACAAAGCTCCGAGTCTGTGTTACAAGGTAGACAGTCTCTGGGGCTTTTGTTATTTCAACAGCTTTGTCACAGGTAGATGCTTGTGGTCCATAGCTCTGCTGTATAAGCATACTTACTAATTATGATATGGAAATATAAAACTGAAAGGGAATGCATAAGCCATTGCATCCAGCTCTGCAATAAGAACAACTTTGTGATGTTTTGTGGTCAGCTCCACAAAATGTCTGCCCTGAATGAGCCTGGGTCCATGAAGCTGAGATAAACAGCTACGCGTTTAACGTTGCTTTAGGAGGCTTGTTTCAGACAGCAACCTGAAGGATCAAGAATTTCACTCTTTTGGAACACTCCGAACTCTGGAAGTATATATATATATTTTTTTTTTTTTATTGCATTGAGTATGACTATAGTGAGTCAGTTGCTTTCAGTAGTGCTGCCTGGAAGTTTCAATTATAGCAAGGTCATAGTCTTAGTTTTTAAGCTATGTTTTTCAAGTGCTTCCTCTGAACAGCTGCTCTTAAAGAAGTATTGCTGAAATTTGTTGAAGGATATAATAAATTTTTTTATAAGTGAATCCTATCACTGTGGGCCTTTGGTTTTGGTTTCCTTTTTTTTTAAGATTAACCTTTAGTGCACCTATTTACCTCACTTCTTGTGACAGAATATTTGCACCAAAGTCTGCATCACTAAGAAGTAATAAATAAGACATGTTATGACTTCAAGTGCCAAATTGATGTTTCCTGACAGCCATTGATTCTTTGATTTGTGAGAAGTTTTAGGATGTTTGGCATACAAATTTATTGCTAGATTAGAATGTGGTGTTTGTCAAAGCCCCATCACATAACTTAAATTTTGTTAGGAGAAAGTGTCCATTTTATAAATGTCTTTTCAAGCTGATTTTATATTATGAATTCTGTTTCTACAGACTGACACAGATGTGTGTATGTAGCTTTACAAAATTTGAAAAAATGTACCTTTTCTGAAATCCTGTCCATTTGAAATCTTATCAGCTTCAAAAGTGAATTAAAAGTAACTTCAAGCAGTGTATTTTCTAAGTTATAATGAGTGTTAAAACATGGAGGCATCTATTTAAGTCATTAATCTGTAGTTTTCCTCGTTAATATACAAAAAATACACTATTGAGGAAAAAATACGTTTCTGAATATGATTATATGATAGGATTGTGAGAGACTTGTATTAGTCACTTAAGATATTATTTTAAGACGTTTTCCTACAGGGGAAATGATTGAAGCTATCTGTCTACGAGTTGCTATAAAGTACTGGGGAGGGGAAAGTATTCCAAAGACTCTCATGGAGAGCAGCAAAAATGTGTGATTTTTTTTTTTTTTCCTACTGCTCAGCTTCAATAGCACTGTCCAAGTAAAAATTTGGGCAGAAGTGTGACTTTTTCTTTTCAACCTGACAATAACCAAACTAGTAATTTGAATAAAAATATACAGGTATTCTGTGGAGAGAGTGTGATTTTTTTAATTAATCTACTGTATTATTTTGACCAAAATCATGTAGCAGAAGCCAACATTACAATTTTACTGTTGATTTTATATATACATATGTGCTCTGAATTAGCCTAGTTAAAAAACCCCACAAACTACAGTATAAATAATAAAATAACTAATATTTGCCTTGTTGCTCTTTAAGTATTTTTTTTTCATGGACTTTCTCTGATCAGGTTGAAGATGCAACTTGTTTAAGCAAGTTCATCCCCACGCACCAGAACAGATGCTTATGTAAGAGCATGTCGTGGTGGCTGGACCTCAAGGTTGACCATGTGGGACAAATGAATTCTGAACCTATTTTTGTTACTGACTTGCTGCTTGGCGTTGATCTACGGACTTAATTTTGGGGCAGCAAGTATGGGCATGATTGTTGGAGTCCAATCAATGAAACTGGCAAAGTGGTCAGAGTATAAACGGTTGTATTTCTTATAGGTTGTCACCTGACCATCCTTAGCAAACCAAGATATTCTGAAATGCTTGTATTTATTTAATAAACAGATGTATGAGAGAGCAGGAGCATCAAAAACAATTTACACAAAACTAAACAGTTCTCATTTTCCACCTCTTGTCTGTTGTAATTCCCAAAGGTCTCAAGTGCCAAAGTTGGATAAGCGATGTAGAGAGATGTGAAACTGCATAGCAAAAATATCTGAGAGATATTTTCCTAGACCCATTGCATTCACGTGTGTGTATATATGTGTGTGTGTATGTCTATATATATAAAAGTAAATAAAAGGATATGTAGCATAACCTGGAAAGATTATACACTTGATGTGTTCAGGCTTCCTTATTTAGCTTCCTATACATAAAGTAGTATCTATGCTTAGCTACACAATGCATTTATTAGCATAACTGAATAATGTTTAAGCATAGTTTTTTCTGGTGTTTTTATGATAATACATGTTTCTATACTATATAGATGCCTGTGTTCTGAACATTATTTTTTTTTAACTTTATCTCCAGTAAAGAACTGTGTGAATTATATTGACATGTTTTCTTTAGTATCTTGTGTCATTAGAGTTTAAAAAACTATATCAAAACATGAAGAAATGGAATGAATAGTTAATTCTGCTATAAAGGACTCTCAGAGTTTTAAATGGTTAAACTAATGGAGTACTACCACTTTCTTTGAAGGAATTGGCTTCAAAACTTCAAGCAGAACTTGAAAACGCTCGCAAATTGAGAGAGACTCAAGGGCAGATTCCAGCAAAATCTGACAGAGAGGTAAGGGGAATATACTCTTCTTTTCTTTGTGCTAACACAATGATATAACACAGGTAGCAGCTGAATTATAGAGCACGTGAAATGAACTTAGGAAAACTACAAGGTGTCACTTTAGGTGAGTTACTGTTCAAATTGAATTATACTTTTTGGTAGTAAACAAAATTTTTTCTCCATTGTACTTTAGCAACTTCCATAGGATTTTTTTTACTGGTAATATTTTCTCAGCAATGATATATGTCTTCCATTAAAACTGATATGTGTTGTGTTGTTGACTGTGCTGACTGTTACATAACTGTGAAGTCTCTGAAGAAGCTGGCACTTCAAATGTTGTTCTGTTTAAAGGGTGGTATTCAACAAGTGAATAGGAATCTTCTTCCATACCAACTTTGGTATAGCTACAGGCAAACAGTGTCAGTATCTTTGTTTATGAGCTCTGTCCTCATGAGGGAGAGGAGACTTTTAGGCAAAAACTAATGTTCTTGTTCAATTTGACCCCAGTTCCTCAGTGAAAATTCAGCTGCAAGTCAGCTGAGTTTGAAAAGCCACTAATACTTTTCTTGAAAAGGCTTCATCTTGGACCTCATACTCTCCAGTCTTCAGAAGACAGACTGAACTGGAAGTTAATGTGTGGCCTCTTGCTGACTACATTGTGACAGTAGTATTAAAGTGTAAAATCTCAGACCTTGAATGCACAAGAATTTAAGATTACAAGAGCTCTGTCTAGGTAGACTCTGCTTTGTTGCAGTGCAATTCTTAGGCATGTTTTTCATGTATATACAAAATAAATGAATTAAGCAGATTGGAGTTGTGTAAGTACACAGGAAAAAAATCCATTCGGACTTTAAAATTGGGAAGTAGAGAGCATGTTATGGGTGGTCCTCATAAATGTTGGTAAAGACCTGTTCCTTAGAAAATGAGTCACGAATAACAATTTTGGTCAGCTTTAGTCTTAGCCATAGTCAGATTTTTATCTTAGTTTTTAAAATCTTTTAATGAAAAATTAACAGCATGTAGTCATTGCAGAAGTACCAAATGTAAATACTACTCGAATTTTCAGAAAGGAAAATTTTGATTTAAAATTAAAAAATGGAGTGAAAACATACTTAGCATGAGGCCGCTCCTTCTAGCTCTCTTCATCCTGAGGACAATTGGTCTCACAGCTTGTGCTTCTACCAAGTGTTAGGCTGCTCTGCAACAGGGAGATTCCTCCCTATGTGTAGAAACACCAAGCTCAGCAGTGCAAGAGTTTGAGGATTCAGAAGGATAAACTGACAAAGAGGAAATAGTCTACATCCTTCTGACCTGATATGGGTCCTAATCTATCTCTGGACTGGCGTCTGAAAAATGGATGAGTAGTCCAGGAGGAGCCTTACTTTTCAGAAAGGTGTATTATAGAATTGGAAATACCATCTTGCTGTCCTAAAGCCTCAAAGGGATTGACTTAGTCATTTCTATTCATGAATATACTATAGGATAATTATGATTTTTATTTTATCTTTTGTGTGCCTGTCCATATTCAGTTTTGTACTCTTATGTGCTTATTTACTCAGGCTGGGTCTGGGGACTTACAGGCCATGTCTACTCTTGGTCCTGTGTTCCCTTTAAACATAGTGGAAAAAATTGTGGATGGCCCTAGGCTACCCCCTCTTTTTCTTTCTCTCCTGTGGGAGCTTGACTAAGCCCTCATTGACTACCTTAGTGGAAGATTGAAGGGATTTAAAAACAGGGCCCTTTCCTCTCTGAAGTATCTTGGATGCAAAATGTCTACCTTTGTGAGTTCCATGTTGACTTTTTCTGAAGCTCAAAATCAGCTTCTTACGTAATTCCAGACGTAGGAGCTTGGTTTTTAGATCTATTCATCTCAGAATGCTTATTTTTATGTCAGAATCCATCTATCTTGCAGAAACAATCTTTAGTTTGTGGGAACTGGGACTGTTGACAGTCCTGCTGTTGTAGACTTTCCGTGGTTTGCCAATGCAAATAGTCCTTTACAGGTACAGCAGGGCTGCTGTTTGTAATTCTGCAAAGGTTAGCTCTTGAACTGCATCACGCGAGAA